TTCTATTGATCTTTGCTATTGTTTTCTTCATTTCTATTTCATTTATTTCTGCTCTGTTCCTTATGATTCCTTTCCTTCTACTGAGTTTGGGTTTTCTTTGTTCTTCTTTCTCTAGTTGCTTTAGGGGTGGTGTTAGATTGTTTATCTGAGATTTTTCTTGTTTCTTGAGGTGAGATTGAATTGCTATAAACTTCCCTCTTAGAACTGCTTTTGCTGAGTGCCATAGGTTTTGTGTCATCGTGTTTTCATTGTCATTTGTTTCTATGTATTTTTAAAATTTCTTCTTTAATTTCTTCAGTGATCTCTTGCTTATTTAGTATTAGTAGTGCACTGTTTAGCCTCCATGTGTTTGTGTTTTTTGCAGTTTTTTTTCCTGTAATTGTTTTCCAGTTTCATAGTGTTGTCATCAGAAAAGATGTTTGATATGATTTCAGTTTTCTTAAATTTTCTGAGGCTTGATAATTTTTATTTTATTTATTTATTTGTGGTACGTGGACCTCTCACTGTTGTGGCCTCTCCCACTGTGGGGCACAGGCTCCGGACATGCAGGCTCAGTGGCCATGGCTCACGGGCCCAGCCGCTCCGCAGCATGTGGGATCCTCCTGGACTGGGGCATGAACCTGTGTCCCCTGCATCGGCAGGCGGACTCTCAACCACTGCGCCACCAGGGAAACCCTGAGGCTTGATTTTTGACCCCAGATGTGATCTATCCTGAAGAATGTTCTGTGTGCACTTGATAAGAAAGTTTATTCTGCCACTTTCAGGTGGAATGTTATATAAATATCAGTTAAATCTATCTGGTCTATTGTGTTATTTAAAGCTTTTGTTTCCTTATTTATGTTTCGTTTGGCTAATCTGTGCATTGGTGTAAGTGGGGTGTTAAAGTCCCCTACTATTGTGTTACTGTCGATTTCCCAATTCATGGTTGTTAGCATTTGCCTTATGTATTGAGGTGCTCCTATGTTGGGTGTATAAACATTTACAATTGTTATATCTTCTTCCTGAATTGATCCCTTGAACCTTATATAGTTTTCTTCCTTATCTCTTGTAAGTCTTTATTTTAAAGTCTATTTTATCTGATACGAGTATTGCTACTCCAACTTTCTTTTCATTTCCATTTGCATGGAGTGTCTTTTTACATCCCCTCACTTTTAGTCTGTATGTGTCCCTAGGTATGAAGTAGGTGTCTTGTAGACAACATATATATGGATCTTGTTTTTATATCCATTCAGCCAGTCTGTGTCTTTTGGTTGGGGCGTTTATGCCATTTACATTCAAGGTTATTGTCGATATGTATGTTTATTACCATTTTCTTAATCGTTTTGGGTTTGTTTTTGTGGGTCGTTTTCTTCTCTTGTGTTTCCTGCCTAGAGAAGTTTCTTTAGCATTTGTTGTAAAGCTGGTTTGGTGGTGCTGAATTCTCTTAGCTTTTGCTTGTCTGAAAAGCTTTTGCTTTCTCTGTCGAATCTGAATGAGATCCTTGCTGGGTAGAGTAATCATGGTTGTAGATTTTTCTCTTTCATTACTTTAAGTATATCCTGCCACTCCCTTTTAGCCTGAAGAGTTTCTGCTAAAAAATCAGCTGATAACCTTATGGGGATTCCTTTGTATGTTATTTTTTGTTTTTCCCTTGCTGCTTTTAATATTTTTGCTTTGAATTTAATTTTTGTTTTTCTGATTAATGTGTGTCTTCATGTATTTCTCATAGGGTTTATCTTGTAGGGAACTCTCTGTGCTTCCTGGGCTTGGGTGACTATCCTTTTCCATGAGAAAGGATTATAGTGGGAAGTTTTCCACTATAATCTTTTCAAATAATTTCTCAGACCCCTTCTTTTTCTCTTCTTCTGTGACCCCTATAATTTGAATGTTGGTGTGATTAGTGTTGTCCCAGAGGTCTCTGAGCTTGTCTTCAATTATTTTCATTCGTTTTTCTTTATTCTGCTCCTTGACAGTTATTTCCACCATTTTGTCTTCCAGCTCACTTACTTGTTCTTCTGCCTCAGTTATTCTGTTATTGATTCCTCCTAGTATATTTTTCATTTTAGTTATTGTATTGTTCATCTCTGTTTTTTTGTTCTTTAGTTCTTCAGACCTTTGTTAAACATTTCTTGTATTTTCCTAATCCATGCTTCCATTCTATTTCCGAGATTCTGGATCATCTGTACTATCATTACTGTGAATTCTTTTTCAGCTAGATTGCCAATTTCCTCTTCATTTATTTGGTCTTGTAGGGTTTTGCCTTGCTCCTTCATCTGTGACATATTTTTTGCCTTCTCATTTTTTTTTTTTTTTTTTTTGATGAGTGGGATTGTTTTCCTGTCTTACTGGTTGTTTGGACTGAGGCTTCCAACACTGGAGTTTGTAGGCTGTTGGGTATAGCTGCGTCCTAGTGCCAAGATGATGAACTCTGGGAGACATCACTCCGATGAATATTCCTTGGGGTCTGAGGTTCTCTGTTAGTCCAGTGGTTTGGACTCAGAGCTCCCATCACAGGACCTTCGGCCTGACCCCCGGCTTGTGAACCAATATCCCGCAAGCTGTGCAGGGAAGCAGAAAAAAAAAAAAAAGAACAATAATAAAGTAAAAAATAAAATTAGACTAGGAAACTAACAGATATGTTAGAAAGAATATAAAAATAAAAACATAGATGAAACAACAACCAGAAGGCAAAACAGAACCACAATAGTAAGAAAGAGGAGGAGAAAAAAATCAAAAAGGTGGAAATGGCCTTGGCTGTGGAAGGCATGTCCTAAGCAAGGGTGGGGTTTGAGCAGTGGGTGGGACCTATGCTTAAGACCCACAGGGCTGGCAAAGGCCCTGGGAGGTATGGGGGGTGGGGCTTAGGCTTAATGGAACAGAAGGGGCCCAGGTGTGCCTCCCACCTCTGGTCTCAGAGAGCAGGGGCCCCACCTGGGAGCCCAGCGTGCTTCCCAGGCTCAAGTAGGCAAGGCAAATGCCCTCCGTGTCTCTCCTTCTCCTCTGGTCCTGGAAGGTCTTTCCCTCCTGCCTCTCTTGTTCTCCCCCTAGCCTCCATCCTATGCCCCCAGGACCAATGCAGCCCAGAGGGTGACTCTGAATGCTTAGGACATGGCCCAAGAGCCAGGCAGACTTCTCCAGCCTATTGGGCAGGGGAAACTCTGGGTGCACTCCCCCCAGTCCAAGCCCCTGAGGGTCCCTCCACTTGGGAACCCCACCCCTCTCTCAGCCACCCCTCAGGGGCACCCATCCTGTCTGGCCTCCACTTCTCCTCCCCCCTCAGTCCCCCCACATCCTACCAGTTCGCTTGGGGGGTTCCTCTCATTTCCTTGGGCATCGAGGTCCCCCACCAGTGTCCGGCACGTACCCTAGTTGTGGGGAGACACGAACTCCGCAACTTCCCACACTGCCATCTTGACTCTGCCCTCCCTTCTTTTAAATTATGGTTTTGCTGGATGTAAAATTATAGGTCCCCTCTTTTCAACAGTTTTTGCCCTAGGTTCTTTTTTTTTCAACAACATAACTTGTGAAGTATTTTTCAGCATGATATTTACTCCTCTGCTACAGAGTGATCATTTACAGAGTGGCACTGTGATCTTTTAGAATTTTATCTTTATTTATGATGTTACTGATTTTTCCTATTATGTGTCTAAATGTGCTTTGTTTTTCTCTTATGTATCTCTTTGACCTTTCATCTGAAGTTTTCACTCTTTTTTTCCCCTTACATTTAAGATAGTTTTAGTCATTATTTTTTTTCAAACATTTCTTTCCTCCTAGGACTCTTACTAGACTGATTTTGTCACTTTTGCTTCTGTATTCTATATCTCTTAATCTTTAAATATTTTCTTAATTTATTGCTTCTTAATGCCTCTAAGAGGATTCATCAATCTGATATTCCAGTTCAAGAATCTGTTCAGTATCTACTATATTCTTCAGTCCCTATGTTCAGTTCTTTATTATAGCTTATATAATTCTGTTTTAAAAGTCAGGTTTATTGAGGTATAATTTACCTACTGTAAAATTTTCCCTATTAGTATACAGTTCTATGAGTTTTGACAAAGCATAGAGTTGTGTAACCTCCACCATATCCAAGATATAAAACTTCCATCAAAAGAAAAAGTTTCCTTGTGCTCCTTTGTAGTCTATTCCTCCCTGCAACCCAAGTGTGCTTGCATGTATCCATAGCTAATTTCTTATTTTTTATTGAAATGTAGTTGATGTACAATATTATTTCATAATTTTTAATGAAATCAGTTAGCTTGATTGAGAGAGTTTCCTCAGCCATGTTTTGCATCTCCAGCACAAATTTAGAGAAAATATATGATACGGTCCATCCAGGTTTTTGTTGTTGTTGTTAGTTTTTGTGAGTTTGTCACAAGGAGAGAAGGAAGCAAGATAAATTAAGGTACTATTCAAATGGCTGAGAATATGAAACATGTAATGAGAGAGGCAGTAAAGCCATAATGGAGCTGGGAAGGCTCATTGATTTTGAAGTCTCAGTGAGGCTGAAGAAATGTTGTTTTGGGATATTTGAGAAATGAAGATGGTAGATGAGAAGTAGAGTTCTAAGAGGAGGATGTGAAAATGAAATTTCAAAAGTTTTCCATTTTATTTGTGAAGGTAACATCTAGGAATGGTCCTGGCAGCGGATGATTGAAAAGGAATGGATAAGAGTATCTTTGGAGTTGAGTGGCTCAAAGAATTGAGGAGATAGAGACTTCTGTGTGAATTTTGAAATTGCCAAAATTACATAAGGAACTATTATGATCCATGAATGAACATCATCAATAAATAAAATAAAATTTCCTAGAAAGCTGATCAATAATAGCAATGAAAAAAACAATAAAGTGATAGTGTTTAATGAAATAATTTTCAAAGGGACAGGGGGTTTTGTAAAGAAAAGAGGGAACAATGGTAAGAAAGTCTTAATAGGAAAAAAAAAAGGTGAACATATTTATCCCAGAATTTGAATCTTTTAACATTTTCTTGATTACTTCAGTAGTGTAATTTTTATTTTCATACAGATGCCTACAACTCTTCCAAGAGCAGCTGGTCGAGAAACCAAATATGTGAGTCCCTTCATAATTATACATACTGCTTTTTATTTTATTTTATTTTATTTTTTTTGCGGTACACGGGCCTCTCACTGTTGTGGCGTCTCCCTTTGCGGAGCACAGCTCCAGACTCGCAGGCTCAGCGGCCATGGCTCACGGGCCTAGCCGCTCCATGGCATGTGGGATCTTCCTGGACTGGGGCATGAACCCGTGTCCCCTGCATCGGCAGGCGGACTCTCAACCACTGCGCCACCAGGGAAGCCCCATACTGCTTTTTTAATGGGTGCATGTGCATGCTTTAGAGGAAACTCAATTATATAGTCATTTAAATTGAATTAGTTGAATTTTTCATAAATGGAAGGAGTAGGATGGTATGATTGGCCCAGAGGTGGAAAATCACGTTATGTCAGGTAAGTTTATTGAATAAATTCCTTCTTAAGTGAGATCTCATTTGATTAGTTTGGCTGAATCAAACAGAATTCTAACACCTGCTTTCTGCCTTTCTAATTATCAAGGCTTAGATGACATTTTCATTTCTGTAATGGTTTATCATGCTTATTATGAAAGAGTCAACTCACATAGCTGAAACATTAAGATTTGTCTGTTTCTAATGGGATTACCAATTTATTTGATTTGGACTAGTTTGTTGCTTTCTTTCATTTAAATTGTTTTCAAATAAATCGATTTCCACCTATGAGCAAAAATATAGTAATAATGGGTACGTAGGTATAGACTCACACACTTGATTCAATTAATTGTGGAGATCTGGCTCCAAACATCCTAGATGCACACTCACACACATAACCTCATCCCATTCCTATTCTTTATTTACCTAATAATCCATCATGTGGCCAACTTCTGCTTCTGACCCAACATATTCTAGTATAAACATGATTGTCTCATAAGCAAGTGTTTAGTTTTTAGTTTAAAACAAACCAGTAAACTATTCCCTTTGGTTTATACTTCATATTTTCTACTACGTAGTTTTCATCATCATCATCATTCAGAGTCAATAATTAGTAAATATAAATTTTGTGACATATCTTCTTTGCAATTTATACATTTCTGCCTTCTTTAGAACCTACCCAAGGCAGATAATAAATTGGGTGAAGTTACTGAGCTTCATCACATTCAGAAAATAATGTTTGGAAGGTATGGATAGGAACACTGCTTAGAACATTTTCTAGAAGCCTTCACTGTTATTTTCTGTTATTACTGGAAGTCATTTGGAGTAATACTTAAAAGAGTGGAGGCATTTAGTGGGCTATACCCAAGTTTTAATCACAGTGTTGCTGCTTGCTAATGAATCCTGGAAAGTCACTTAACCTCTCTGTGCCTTAATTTTTTTCACCTATAAAATTGGGATACTAATATTTAGTTGATGTAAGATTTATAACTGTTAACATATGAAAAGCCCTTACTGTAGTCTGACACATAGAAATGATTCAATAAATAATGGTTCTCCCCTTTTTTCCCTCTCTTTTTCCTTTGTTTTCCCCTTCATCCATGCCTCCCCCCTTCTCTTCCCCCTCCTTATCTTGGAAAGACTAGACACACCATGATTTAGCTGAGTTCCTTGATTCTTCAGTTGGATATAAGAAAAGAAAGTCCCTAAAAATGCTTCTATTTTTTTGTGACTGAGACATTCTACAAGAGCCAGACCCAAGAAAAAGTAGCTAGAATATTCTTTACTCTCACCTTCCTTTCTCATCTACTCCTAATTTGCACCTAAGTGCATCTGATTTAGACTCATTTATAATGAGGTACAGAGAGATGATGCCTCCTCCCACACCTCCTGGAGGTGGATAATTTGATAACAATGGAAACAATTCTGGAGGTGCTGCTTCAATCTCCATAGTTAGAGGTTATGTCACATTGTTCTTCTGTCAGTTATCCAACTTAATTAAAGGAGGTTAACATTTGCCCCAAATTTTTTGAGAGCATTTGAGTCATTCAAAGTTAACACTGAATCATCAAATAGATTTAATATAGCCTTGAACAAATATAAACTCTAATTCAGATAAAATTATTGGCTTTGATTAAATTTTGTTTCTTGGAAAAGCTTTGTTTTTTAATTTCTCTTACAAAATGACATTTGAATTGTTGTTTGTGGCACCTCAAATATGTCCATGTCTTTTGAAAGACTAGATGGGATGATTTTATGGTGGAATGGGAAAACCAATTTTTGGTGCCATCAGAGAGAAGTCACACTTGTAAATATTTGGCTTCAGTTATTACATTTACTAAGTGATGTCTTATACAGTTTTCTTGAGGAGAAAAATGAAATTTTAGAACAGAAGTGTTCCTTAGCTATAAGCCTTAGTCATACGTCAACAACTGACCTTGAATACACTATGTCCTGATTTTTAAAAAAGAATGATACTGTAATATTTTCTTTCTTAAAAACTTTTAAAAATTTTAAAATAATTTTTTATTAAAAATTTTTATTTTATACTGGAGTGTAGCTGATTTATGATGTTGTGTTAGTTTCAGGTGTACAGCAAAGTGATTTAGTTATACATATATCCATTCTTTTCCAGGTTCTTTTCCCATGTAGGTTATTACAGAGTATTGAGTAGAGTTCCCTGTGCTATGCAGTAGGTCCTTGTTGATTATCTATTTTATATATAGTAGTGCATAAATATATGTTAATGCCAACCTCCTAATTTATCTCTCTTCCCAACACTGTAATATATTTTTCTAGAAATTCTAATATTCATATTAGCAGAGCTACAAATGCCTCATATTAAGTGCAACTTGAATAGTTTTCCCTTAATTAATTAATTAATCTCTACATTTTTCTCCCTTCCTCTCCCATGGAAACTCAAAAGCAAATCTGAGAATCCTACAAACTGTAACATTTCAATATTCTACCATCTCTCTTCAAAACTTTGAAGAAAGTAGGCATCTTCACAGTATACAGCTGCTGAGACTTGGTGTATCATTGCCTTTGTAGAGCTTCTTAGATTCTATTCTAAAGCAGGGATCATGCAGTTTACCAATGTCTGCACCACAGAGAAAAAAAAGGGAAGACTTAAATTAGAACCAAGAAAAAAAAGTTTTGTTACACTTCGTTACACTTGAGGATGGCCTCAGCTGCTTAGCACAGTCCACTCAAAATCCCTATTTCTGGGGACTCTTTAAAAGTATAGTATATAGTCTGTGAATTGTGATGAGTAGAAAGTGTAGTCAGTTCATAGCTCTATTATTCAATTTTCCACTGTTTTGACAAATATTTGAGCGTCTGCCATGCCTCAGTACTCACGTGGAGTCACTGAGGTGTGAGGGATGAATAGAACAGCAAGACCCCCATTTCTGAAGCATACCATGTGGGAGACAGTAAACAAAATAGGAAAGAGCAATCTTGCAGAAATTGGAGGAGAGCTAGTCAGAGCACTGGCTGATGTTAAAACAAATGTACGAAGTTGCTAGTTTTCAATGTGTCAGTATGTCCATTGGATTTCCAATTTTCCTGGGATGATGAGAGTGCTTTAATTAAATAATTTAATTAAAATGAGACTTGATATGACTAATTCCTCTTTAGGGGACTTTGATAAAAAGCTGACTTTCCTTCATCAAAAAAAAAAAGAAAGAAAATCCATGTAAAACAATTTATTCCCTTTTCTTAATCTTGATTGCGCATACTGTTACATTTCACATAGTCTGTTTTTTAGGATGAGCCAGATACAGTAAAGGACCTTCAACTTAGACTAAAGTCCAGGTTTTCCTTCAATTCATTGTGTACTTGAATTGCAGTTTAAAGTAATTTAATTGAGGTTATCTTAAGTGTCATAGAATTCAAACAAGGCGAACAAACACGTTGAGTGGTCTTGATCTCCACAGGTCACCTGTGGGATTGATTAATTTATCATTCGTATTTCACTTGATTGTTTTTAACAGATGCCAAATTCAACAATCATAATAACTAGTGTTTTGAGTTCTTACCTTGCAAATCAGTTTTAACTATCTCATTTAACCTTATACCAGTCCTATGAAGTGGGTATGATTATTTCAAATCTCCATTTTATGGAGGAGGAAACAAAGCCACAGAGAAGGCAAAGTCCAACCCAGGTCTTCCTCATGTCAAAGCCTCTGTTGTTATTATCTGTGTGTACCAACAGGGGCTGGAAATAACTTGCCTTCCTTAAATATTTTATCCATTAGTATTCATATTCTGGGTTTAAATTAATTCTTCATCCCCAGTAAACTCCAGCCTAAACTTTGAATGAATAATTTCATATTTGGTGACAACTTCTAAGATGATAATGTTTAGTATATTTCTAATGTTTTAAATTATTTGCTTACATGTAAATTAACTCATAATTTATCAGTTAATCTACAAGTTATTGTTTCTCATCACACTCATTTTTAAAGAGTTTCCTTCCCTCTATGTAATGGAATGAATTTTCTAATTAAATTTCTATTTCATTCTGTTTTCACTCTATCATCTTTGGAGGGGAGTGTTATTTTTTTTTCTTTGCATCACACTTGCCTTAGTAAATGTTTATTATTTTTCATTAACTACTACCAGTATAAATTCATTTCACTCATGTAATTCAAAACCACAGTATGCTTTCTTAATAAAGAGCAACCTCAGAAAATAGGGAAAATATTTGGACCTATTACTAATTTATCAAAAAAACTGTCATTTGGAGTCACATTCTATTGATAACAACTTATTTAATAAACTCTCTACATTTAAGAAGTTAATTTTAAGTGCCAGAGAAATAACAAAGACAGCTTTATTGAATATGATATAGCATAGAGGTAAAAATCTCATTTTAATGAGCTTGAGGGACAGAAAAATATCATTACAGTGGAAGCATATTGCTTTAAAAATATCACAGAATATTAAAAATGTGTCAAACTTTATTAAGAATATTTCCCTCTATGTATACAGATGTTCAAATAAAGGTCATCTTCTCCAATTAAGCCACCTCACACAGTCACCTTGTTGCTATGCTTGGAAACGTTGCTATGCTGGAGTGTTTCAGAGGTGATGTGCCCTCATGCAG